CAGTGGGAAAATATAGTTGTCACCCGTATGTAATTATGCGGTCAGTCGGGAATTAATTGTCAACCACATTTAATCCTGCGGTCGCTGATGGCTGGTTTTTGCTTCACCTAGTCCGGATAGGCCGCCGTCTCTTCCATGCTTTCCCGAGGTTGGTGTACATTGCGTCCAATTCGACGTGCCCGTTGGCTTATAAAAAATTACGGCCTTTCTCCTATTGGCAAGAGCCAACAATGCAAGTTTCGCCTCACGCAAATTGGTTTCCAGTTTCTAATGTGCGCATGGCAACTTTGGATAAGTGTTATCCTCCTTTACCGCTCGTTCGTGTTCACGTAAGCGTGTGGAGGCTGATAGTCTTGTCTATTCACAATAAACCGCATTGCAGCCACCACAAGGGATCTTATAAGTGACTTCTTTTCTGTCCAAGTAACCAACCCTGTCTTTAGGGTGTACAAGCTGATTTCGCAGAGTATTGGTCGGTTTGTGCGCCACTTGGATTTGGTGCTTCCTCAGGTCTCTTTCAACGAGTTCAGACAGGTTCATAATAGATGGAAGTGTTCGCCAACTTCAATTGGGCGCCTGATCGGGACAATCTTGTTCTTTTTCTTCTTGTTTTAACTGCTGTCGTCTCATGCATCGAGGCACGAAGAGACAAGGCAGCCTATCCGGACTAGATGAAGCAAAAACCAGCCATCACCGACCGCAGGATTAAATGCGGTTGAAAATTAATTCCCGACAGACCGCATAAGTACATACGGGTGACAGCTATTTTACCCACTGACCACATGCGGACGACGATTATAAAATATTACCCTGACCGCTATTCAATCTTGTGTTAGCCATCATTTTGAATTAACTGTTTCATGCAACTCTAATGCGTCTGACGACGACGACTTGGTGAGCCAATGTCGAAAATTCACACACTAAACTATCGTTTTCCAAAGGACTTCTACCGAACATTAGATATTCCTTGCCCTAGAATTCTCTTATACAGGACCGGTAGTATTAGTACAGTTTAGTTTTTAGTTTATTATTTAGTCCATTAATTTACTATTAACTTTGCTGTAGTTTAGTTTTCAGCTTAGTTAGTTTTGTTTATTATGTGGTAGGTGTTTAAGTATTAAGAGGCGAAGAACTTATTTATCTAACTTTGGAGATATCTAGTTAAACTATAAAGTAAACTAAATTAAAACTAAAGTAAGAGTAATAAAATAATAATATACCCCAGGACTAGGAATTAGGGGTATATAAGGTGGACCGCTAATCCAGTCGTCCGCAGTCCAACTGATTAACTCCCCCTCCAATACAGAGGGTCCTATTTATTCTTTTGTAATGAAGCCGCTCCATGCGCAACGCTTGCCTCTCATGGCTGCTAGCACGTGCACATATCTAGGCTTATCCTAGTCCAGTCTGGTCAATCACCTTCAAGGCTGACTCACACAGGACCTAGAATGACGGCTGCCACGCTCACACACACACTTCCGATGCCGCCCTTCACGGGGGCAAACGTACGCTCTTCTCACAGTCAACTTCCCCCTACCTATTCTCCACTACTTCTGCACAGAATACATTATTCCTTGCACCTGGCCTCTTACTTTTTTCTCTTCCCACAAAGGGTTTTACCTATTAACTTCTCCCATCGCGATACCTTCCCCTCCCTTGATGCTGTGACCACCCGCCTCACACGCGAATGGTCTACCTGCCCTGTCTCGTCACCTAGTCTATTGCGACAATCTCACTTTCTCTCTTATTTTCATTTCCTGCGACAACCGTTTGATGTTTCTGTGGCGAACGGCCATGAATGGTCTTTGCAGGTGGTTTTTTCCGACTCGCTGACCTGAAGACCACTTGACCGACTTCCCCGCACGCACGCACGCACACACACATTCGCTTCAAAACCAATCGCGGTTTCCAAAGCGCCACTTGAACACACCACCTCCCAGTTGATGCAGCAGGGGCCGCTATACCTGAGGCCTTCTCGGAAAATGTAACACACCAAGCATACACCACTTGAACTCAATTCACAGTCATGTAAAAGGAGCTGTCACGTCTCCCTCTCTCCGTCATACAATATAGAAAACTTTCAGGCGTGACTGGACGCATTCGACATCAACCCCGGGCTTCGACATGGGTCACTGCTGTCTGAGACAGCAATGCAGGGTTCCGTGCATAATAACTCCTTCATTCTGGTGCCTTCTGTCTTTTACCGGGAATTCGATCTGGCAATTGTAGTGTTCTGAGTACAACCACGGCTCAGCCACTACATCATCACC